CATCCAGCAAGCACTTAATACATAATAATTAAACTTACTATAATGATGTTTTCTCTATCTCTGTTCACAAGTATTTTATGAAGGGCCCCAAAGGTGGCCTGGATCCTTCAGTCTAAACTGCCTTTCTTAGGAGCTGCTCAGGACACCTCCCACTGGAGTTGTATTAATAGGTAGACTTTAATAGATATAGGGCTATTTAGGTTATCTATTTCTTCTTGAGGAAGCTTTAATAGTGTCTTTGGAGGAATTTAGAGGTGAGAGTGCTTTTAGAAACCATCTAGCAAAGTGGTTGTCAAACATTAGGGGACATCAGAATTGCCATAGACACTAATCCAAATATTGTAACGAGTATTACAATGGAAAAAACTGTAGCCTGGTAAGTATTAATGTTTTCCTTTCCCCAGAATTCCTGCTTGATGAAATATAAAAACAGTAATCCTGCATTTTTAAAAGGACAGCAATCTTGTTAAGAAAACTATTTGTTGCAGACTGTAATTAATGAAACACCATCTGTGAGTGTCAGTGCTCTTTGTGTGAACTGTGACTATCTAGGCAAATTTTTATGCTTTTTCACACAGATGGGAAAGAGAAAAGGGTGTAACCAAGCAGAAGTGTGACATAAATTAGCCTATCAGTTGCACAGGCTATGCAGTTTACAAAATTTTATTTATTATCTAGTATAAATATATTCATTTTCAAATTCTTCCTACAAAATTTGATTTAAAATCTATATCCAACTTTGTATTCTCCAACTGAGTCTAAATATTGTCTCTAGATCAATTTTTACAAAGTACTTGCTTCCTCTTCAAACTTCAGGTAAAACTTAAACTTCTTAGCATGGGATTCAAAACCTTCTACATTCTAATCCCAACCAATTTAGCTCTCATGACCAGGTTACTCTCACTGTTACTGCCCAATTTCCATCCAGCCAAATTCATATTCTCGTGGTTCGCAAATATGTTCACCCATCAGCCTTGCCTGGAATGCCTCTCCATAGCTTCTCTCTCCTCTCAAGTTCTCGAGATCTTACTGATTCTTCAAGGCAAGACACTTTGTCCAGGGATTCTCCCATATGTTCTTAATGCTTATTCATTTAAAATAATTGACAATAATTTACTGCATATTTATAAATAGCTAGAAGAGAAGGTTTGGAATGTTCCAACACAAAGAAATGATAAATGTTTGAGGTGAATACCCCAACTATCAAGATTTGATCATTACATATTACATACTTATATCATAATGCCACATGTACCCCATAAATATGTCCAACGTGTATCAATAAGAATTAAAAATTTTAAAAATCTTAAAAATATTTATAGAGCTCCTAAACTTTTATTGCACTTACAGTGTCTGTAAAAATAGCATGGCTCTTTAATTAACCTTTTAAAAAATTAGCTGTATTGAGGTATAATCTACATAGGGTAAAATTGACTTTTACTAAGACTGTAGAGTTCTGTGAGGGTTTTTTTCCAGTTTTATTTGAAGTAAAATTGACATATAATCCAAATTCACAAAGATTTTCTGTTGTTTTTTTTTCTAAAAGTTTTATACTTAAAGATTATACATTCAAGTCTATACCCATTTTGAATTAACTTTTGCATATAGTGCAAGGTATGAACCAAACTATTGGGCAATTTGGAGTCTTTCATGAGACAGTGCTCTAAACAGTATTAAGGGAACCCATAAAAAGTGATTACACTGGAGAAACAAAGGGGAAGAATGTTTGAAGAGAATGGTCAGTGCAAATGCTGAGAAAGGTGAAGTGAGACAAATACTGAACTCTTTAGTCTTAAACACTGAGATGTCCTATGTTCATGGATCAGACTTTATATTGTTAAGATGACAATATTTCCCAAATTGACCTGCAGATTCAACTCAATCCTTGTCAAAATGCCAACTGCCTTTTTTTGCAGAAATTGACAAGTTGATCCTAAAATTTGACTCAGAGTCGTCAAACAACCTTGAAAAAGAACAAATTTTAAGGACTCACACTTCCTGATTTCAGAATTTACTACAAAGCTCATATAGTACTGGCATAAAGGCAGACATTCAATGGAATAAAATTGAGAGTCCATAAATAATCCTTCACATTTACAATCAATTGCTTTCAAAAAGTGTGCTAATTCAATAGGAAAAGATTAGGTTTTTCAATAAATAATGCTGAGACTAGATATCCACATGCAAAGGAATGAAGTTGAATGCCTTCCTCATATCATACACAAAAATCAACTCAAAATGGATCAAAGACTTAAATGTAAGAGCAAAAACTACAAAGCTCATAGAAGAAAATGTAGTAGTAAATATTTGCGACCTTGGAGTAGGTAAAAACCTTTTTGGGTATGACACCAAACACACGAGTGGCACACAAAAAATAAATAAATTGGATTTCGTCAAAATTAAAAATTGTTGTGCTCTAAAGGATACCATCAAGAAAGTGAAAACAAAACCCACAGAATGGGAGAAAATTTTTGCAAATCAAATATCTGATAAGGTTGGTTCCAATGGAATATTACTCAATCATAAGAAATGACAGTGATCTAGCACCTCTTACACTTTCCTGGATTAAACTTGAGCCCATTATCCAAAGTGGGGCACCACAAGAGCAGAAGAACGGGATCCATTTGTACTCACCATCAAATTGGTATTAACTAATCAACACATAAATGCACATATCAGAACAACATCTATTAGATGCTGGGGAAGGGGGAGGGCGGCGGGAGGAGGGGGGAGGAGGGAGGAGGGGACGGGTATTTGTATACACAAGGAGGGCAATGCGCACTACCCAAAGGATGGACATATTTGAAACACGGACTTGGGGGGGGGACCAAGGGCAACACACGTAACCTAAATATCTGTACCCCCATAATATGCTGAAATAAAAAAAAATATCTGATAAGGGACTCATATTTGGAATATACATAGGACTCTTACAATTTATAATAAAAAGACACATACCCCAATTTAAAAACAGGCAAAAAACCCAAGATACTTCTCCTGAGAAGATATGCAAATGATCAGTAAGCACCTGAAAGATGCTCAACATCATTAACCATGGGGGAAACGAAAATCAAAGCCACAATGAGATACCACTTCACACCTGATAGGATTACTATAATCAAAATGACAGATAATAACAACGGTTGGTGAGAATGTGGAGAAATTGGAACCCTCATACACTGATGCTAGGAATGTAAAGTGGGCAGTTCTTCAAAAGGTTAAACATACAGGTACCACATGACTCAGTAATTCCACTCCTAGGTATGTGGGCAAAAGAAAAACACATCCACAGAAAAACTTGTACATAAACGTCCACAGCAGCAATAATGGCCATAAAGTTGAAACAACCCAAATATCCATCAACTGATGAGTGGACAGATAAAATGTGGTATATCCATACGATGTAATGTTATCGGGCAATAAAAAGGAAGTAAATATTGATACATACTACAACATGGAAGACCCTTGAAAACACTTTGCTAAGTGAAAAAAGCCAATCACAAAAGACCTCATATTATTTGATTCCACTTATATGAAATATCCAGAATAGGCAGATTTACAGAGAAAGAAAGTAGATTTCTGGTTGCCCGGGGCTGGACTTCGGGCTAGGGATGGGGTTGTGGGGCTGAAAAGTGACTGCTAATGGGTATAAAGTTTCTTTGGGGGATGATGAAATTGCTTTAAAATTAATGGCAGTGTTGGTTGCCCAACACCTGAGGGTGCTTGAGGAAATTATCAGGAGCTAAACCAGCACTAACATCATAGAGGATCAAGAAAGGTTCAGTCTAAAGCAGAGGAACGGGAGCGTTGGCTTCAGCTGCGACCGCACCACCGCCTTGTTTTCTTCGTCTGTACCACAAAGGGGTTGTCTATATATTCTCTAAAGTGAATTCTAGCCTCTAACAATCTATCATTCCTTGAATTCAATTTTTTTGTTCTGTCAGCTGAGTAGTACTGTTAATACACAGCTGAACAAAATATAAATATCTATCAAATAGTTTTCATGAAGTTAAAAAAATGAAAAATAACATGGACAAATCCCAAAGTCTGAAGTGTAAGTTTCAGTGGCCCTGTCCCTTTAACACATTTCCTTGTGTGACGACAGTTCCACTAAATAAGGCAGAGGAAAGTTTGGGAGACGTTCCAGGACTTTACAACACCACGGTATTGGGATATAGCCTAACTGTCTTGGGGCTGACCACAGGTGGTGACCACTGACCTGTGACTCTATTTCCATTCTGGATATTCTAATAATAATAATGTGATATCCCATAAATAGCTTTCCAGGAAAAAAAACAAAATTGGCGGTAAGTCGGTTGAAATAAAATTAAAATAATGACTTGATTTCTAAGGTCACTGTACTTCTAAAAAATCTGTTTAACCTGAGATGACTGAAATAAAAACTCATGAAAAATAACAGAATGATGATGTTTTATACACTGATTTATTTTAAAGCTTAATAGATAATCACAAGGTATTTAATAAAAAATAGTTTTAAATACATTTTAAAGTCCTAAATAAAGTCTCTACTTAGCATAAATACACACAGTTTTAGACATAAAAGCATAGTTTTTTGGTTTTTAAATTTTTTCTTTTTTATAGAGACGTGGTCTTGCTAGGTTCCCCAGGATGGAATCCTAGGCTTAAACGATCCTTCTACCTCAGCCTCCCAAGTAGCTGGGACTACAGTCGCTGCCACTGCGCCAGGCTTAAAAGTGCAGTTTGAAAGGCAGATTTCAGACCTCTTAAGCTACGTGACGGCTAATTGTCAGCTTAAGGATTTTAAAAATGTGCATTTACAAAAATTTCAGGAAATTCATTAAAATGTTTTATAAACATTATAAACAAACACACATACCATACAATGTAGGAGAAAGTTAAAGTTTCATGATCTACTTAGAAATACTTAAATCCTCTATTTTATATTATTTTACAAAGTTACTGTTATTATAAAATTTTCATTATACATTCTGGTTTAAACTCCTTTATATGTCACGTTCACTAATATCAAGCACAGGTTTGTAAAATATATATATTATACTATATACATGCATATGCACATTACTTTTTTCCCTTGTATATAATGCCCCTTCATCTTTGGTCTAAGGAACAATCAGAGCACAGCAAAATGCTGCTTTAATTGTTTAATTAAATGTTGAGTATCCACATGATCTGGAAATGCTGCTTCAGACTTCTGTGCAGCAACATAGCTTCTCTGCAGATCTCCAATCTGTAAGAAATACAGGCCACAGAATGAGATTAGACAAAATGAATAAAGAAGTGAAAAAAAGACACTATCTGCATGCTGTAGAAACTCCAAGGGTTCTTACGGGTAAATTGCTTGATTATGCTATTCTGATTTTAGAATTCTCTCACCTAGATTATAATTCAATCTTGAAAAATATGTGAGAAAAATAAAATAACCAATTACATAACTAAAGTATGCTCATTACAACTGTCTAGCAAAGAACTTAAAAACCTGTGTTTTCTTTTCCTATTACTGATAATATTATAAACATAAAATGATATTTGTATGTTAAAACAGCCAGCTCTAGATAGCTTAGGAAAACCTTAAGGAAACTATCTGTAATGTACCACAAACAAAGACATACTTTGATTAGGGTATTATCTTTTAGACAGAAAATTCAAGCAAAAATTATTGTATTTAAGATATAGTATGCTCTAAGACATTTTAAATGATGCTAGTACAATGATGTTGGGAAGATACCTGGTTTTAAAAGTTTATAAAGGTTGTCTCTGATTTTCAATGAACTATGTATTAAAGTCCAGTTTCAAGAAAACCCCACACATACTATCCAAATCTGTCTAAATATATCTTTTTCGTTGATATATAATAACCATACACATTTATGGGGTACCTAGGATATTTTGATATATGCCCACAATGTGTAATGATCAAATCAGGGTAATTGGAACATCGATAACCTCAAACATTTATCATTTCTTTGTGTTGGGAACATTCCAAATCTTCTCTTCTAGCTATTTTGAAATATATAATTATTGTTAACTATAGTCTGAATGTATCTTGATTCATGTATACACCTCTAAAAAGAGAGAGATTTTTGGTGTGTACACAGAAAAAGATCTAGATAAGTCAACTCTGGTAAGTTTTGGTAACATATATATGCGTTAAAAACATAAACTGTTTCCTTTTTTAAATCATACAATTTCTTTTTAACATACCATTTTTTTCTTATAGAAATATAGCCTTTTGCTTAAAGAGATATCTCATTTTAATTATATATTATTAAAATATGATGATATTCCTGAAAGAAAGTAATTAAGCCTTCTTTGTGGTTTGACTAAGTAGCAGCACAGTGCAGTGGAACACACAGGGGTATTCTCAGGGATTGAGTGTGAATCTGGAACTTGTCACTGCCACGTTTCTCCAGGGAAGTTTTTTAACCTCTCTGAGCCTCAGGTTCCACTAGGATGTAAGCTGCATGAGGTAGGTTTTTGTCTGTTTTATTCATTGCCACATCTTCTGTGCCAACAGCAGGGTCTAGTCTATAGCAGGAGGCTCGATAAATAAAACATCAGTTGTATGAACAAATGAATAAGGAAGGTAAGGGATACACCTACATTGCAGGGTTGTCGGGAGAATACAGTAGGTACGTAAAGCACCTAGAACAGTGGCTGGTATGTAACAAGTGCTCAAAAATTACAACTTACGAATGACAGAGCTTATTTTATTTTCCAAACAGAAATGACAGCGTAGATGGCTTCACATTCGTGCTAAGAAAAATAACATCTTTACAATGTCTTATGGTCTATAAAGACCCTTATTTACATCACAAACATTTTTAGCCATTTCTTTGTTCTCAAAACAGACAAAACCTTCCATGTTAAAGAAAGATTTCCAAGTAAAAGTTAGTTATTATTAACTAACTTTACTTATTAAAAATGGCACATGGTTTCTTTTAACTTTTGGATATTATTAATAACTGACTTGCAACACAGTATTAACAGTTGCATTTCCCTCCTATTGTTCATAGCCAAAATAGCTTTCACTAATATCCCTAATTTTACAGCAATCACACAAGGCTTGGTGGCAATATGATCTACAAATAACATACAGGATTAACTTGCTGTAAGAGCCAATAACTAAATACTTCCTAAACCAGGAGTTACTTAACGAGTATTTTTCTTCAATGATAAATGTCATATTTTAAAGTATAAAATAATTCTTCTGCAATCTATAATAGTTTAAGTTTAGTCAATATTCAGTGATAAATTAAAGTTTATTAAACTGTCCCTTGAAGTGAAGATGTACATGAACATAATAATTAAGACTTTAAAAAACCATTTCTTTCAGGAAGGTAAGGTTAGAATTTCCTTATTTATTTTTACTTTTTTTTTAAGCCAAGAAATAAAAACAGATCAGATGATAAATTAATAAAGAAATAGAATACCTTATCAGAGATTGTTGCAAAATTAAAATGCGGTTCATATATATGGGGTGCTAAATCTGACGCAGTTTGCAATAGTGCCCTTGCCTGTGTAAAAAAGAAAAGAAAAGAAAAACTGAAGGTATATGAGCATACATCAGCACTATATTTGTGATTTTTTTTTTTTTGCAAAAGAATTCTTTACCTAGGATAGAACCTTAATAAACATGATCCTGTGATAAATATAGACGACATTCCTCATGAAATATAATGACTTCCTAAAATACAACTAACTATCGATATCTTGCCAAAATTACATTAATGATAAATGATTCAAAAGACAGAAAATATAAGAATTAAAAATTTAGAGTAGATTAAAAGTTAGTTGAGAACCACTGTTCTCATAAAGTTTATATATCAATATGATATATAATTTGAAATATAATCTTAACACTAAAAAAAAGTTCTTAATCTAGTTTGTGTTGCTATTGATTGATTTAACAGGCTCTAATTACTTATTCTCTAATGCAATACAACAACAAAAACAAAAACTACAGTAAATTTCAAAGCCCAAAGTTCTGTGCTGGATGACAGTGAGAAAGCATTTATTATACTGCTGGCCAGCTTTGTAAGTGAAACAGCAGCTGACTATGACAAGCTTTCTCTTCTCTAAGATACATAAAACCCAAACTTTCACATTATTTTTTGTTTTCTATAGGCTCAAAGGACCATACATCGCAGAGGCCACTGAGTGGCATGAGATGCTCATACATTTATCATGAAGACCACAAATTCAGCATTACAACCTGCTGAACAACCCTCCAGCTTGTAGCTAAACTTAAAACCTCTATCCATGATCCTGAGGACAAATTCGTATATTTTTTTTATGGAAAATAAAATGATACCAGTTTATATAGAATGGTGGATTTTTGAAAAATAAAATAGGGTTCATATCATGAAATCTTTCACCAAAACATTTCTAGTCAATTGCATACTAGAGAAACTACAGTAAGTAGGAGGAAAAAGAAATCACCAATATGGGAACAGAGAAAATCACAAAAATCACTTGCTTCATATGGACATAGGCAAAGTTCCATGAGGAAACAAGTGTCTACTTTACAGTAGTTAATGTCTATAAACTATAAATCCATCTTATTTACTTTGGGAGAATTTACGAAATTAAGGTAGTATCCAATGATGTTTGTTTTCTTGTTTTTGTTAAAAGTGTATCATTCTGCCTAGGAGACCAGGTCGGGGGTTAATGTTCCAGCACGCTGCTCACCATGTCTGTGAGCTTGGATAAAGTTACTTACCCTCCTCAAGTCTCCATTTCTTCATCTCCAAAGTGGGGAATGCAACAATATTTACCCTTGATTTCCATTAATATTGTGTGAATATATTTAGCATTTTAAACTGTTTTATGTACATTATAATAATATAATTTATTAGGCATCTACTATGTGCTCAGTACTATGCTTCTATTATGCCAAGTGCTTTCCATGCATGATCTAATCCTCACAAAAATACTTTCAGGTCAGCATTATTATTACTTTATTTTCTGTATCAATCCTTCATTCCACAAATATTGACCTAGCATCTACCATGTGCCAGGCACTGTTTCTGATGCTGAAAATATAACAGTTACATGACAGATAAGGTCCCTGCTTTCGTGCAGCTGACTTTCTATGTTCTACACATAAATGTGAAAATATTGATAAAGTGATAAGTACTGTGAAGAAAAAAAATAGATGTGATAGCACCCGAGGGCTCCTTTGGACTGATGTTGGAGATGGCCTTTCTAAGGAGGTGGCATTTAAGCTGAGACCCAAATGACAAAAAGAAACTTGTCACTGTGAGATCTGAAGGAAGAACATTCCAAAGGCCCTCAAGGAAGACTGAGCACTAAATGTCTTCAGAGCAGCGAGGCGCGATGTGTCTGCAAGTCAGTGGGAAAGGAGTGGCAAAAGACGCCATGTGAAAGGAAGCCGGAGGCCAGGTCACGTAGGGCCTCACAGGCCACGGTTTGAAGTCCAGATTTTATTCCAAGTACAAGGAGAAGGCACTAAAGGGTTTTAAGCAAAGCAGTAATAAAATAATCTTCTTTTTAAAAAAATTCCTTAGGCTGTTCTGAGGAGGGTGTACGTATTGTAGACTGCACTTCCTAGTTGATATAAGTGGAAACAAAAAGACCGGCTGGGGGGATCTTGTAGTAGTCCAGGCAAGAGATGACAGCAGTCTGGAGAAGGGTGGTGGGAACAAAGAAAAATGGGCAGGTTTAGGATGTGATGGGACTTTGAGGTCAGAATGCCAGGACTTGCTGAATATGATGCGGTCACAGGGGTGGCAGGGGAAACAGGTAAGAAGAAAGGCTTCAAAGGGTAGCTCCCAGGATTTGGGCTTGAACAACTAGATGGGGGATGGGAAATGGCAACTGCTAGAACAATTTACTAAGATAGGGAAGACCAGGGAGGTGCAGATTTGTACTAATAAAATCAAATGTTCTATTAATATTTTGGTTTTAGAATGGTTAAGTACCTTATCCAAGGTCACATAGCTAATATGTGACAGAGCTAGGATTCGAATCCAGGCCTGTTGGACCCTAGAGCTCATTTTAAAACGTATAACATATACTGTAACGCCAGCCACACGTGACAGCTTTTCCTTAAAGAAGGCAGACTGCTCGCTGCACCACTGCTAGTTCACTGACCTGTTCGACATGGCCCTTCCGCATCTCCAGCACAGCCAGGTTGTTGTAGGCCTCGGCATGGTGGTTGTTGTTGACCAGAGCCAGCCTGAAGCACTGATGGGCCAAATTCGTATCTCCTATTCCCTACAAGAGAAAAGAACTTATTTGTACCCATGGATCCATATGCTTCCTCCTGCCATCTCCTCCCTTCTTTCATCATATAAATCTTTTCTGCTACTACAGAAAAAGTAACAAGTACCATACAGTCATAGGAGTCAAGTGTGAATTCTGTGTAAGCAGATTTAACTTGGAACATAAAGTGAGCTATGGTAATGCCTAGAACCCTCTAAATTGCCATGTAGGACTATAACCAAACCTGGATTTACAATACCTGAAAATTTCTTCAAAGTAACTTTCCATCACAGAAACATATCAGAAAGACAACATACCACAGCTACATGTCCCAAGTTGTACCAGACATCGGCTGTCTCTTCCTCATTTTCTGCCAGGGAAAGGGCACGTTCAAATGAGTTCAGAGTCATATCATACTGCTGGGCATAGAAGCAACACAGCCCCAGATTGTTAAAAAGCTGGCAGTTGTAAATGCCCATCTGCAGGAGTCGCCTTTTCAAAAAAAACAACACACAAATTTTGGTGTCAGACCAACTTTACAAATGTTAAGATATATATACATATTTTACAAAGTTAGAAATGAATTCATCTTATAATTTTTAACACTCCCAAAGAATATAAAAACAAAGTGTTATAGTAAATGAAAACGTTTATAGCAAATGCAAAAGCATATCTTTTACAATGGTACTAGTCACGGGGAATGTGTCCAGAGGCAAGATCAGAAACAACTTAGTTTTTTCCCCAAACACTTTGTTAGAAGACCAAAAAATAAGAAAGAAATAGTCACATAAAGCAAAACCTACACAGTTTAGCTTTATGAAGCTTTGGTGCCCATCGGGTAAATTCCTAAGACCCCCTAATCTAATTTGAGGGCTGTGTTTAGCATTTCTCTCTAAGTTTTTGGCTGAGTTGGATCCGGTTTTTGGCTATCTGTGATTTGTGACTAAGCTGTGTCTACTGACCTTCGATGGGCTTCTATGGAGAAAGACAAGACCATCAGGGGATCCCTACATGATCCACTTAGCTCTCACGCCGAAGCTCAAGAGCCCCACTTGCTTCTATGGATCACTAATCCCGAGGGACAAAGGGCAAGAGAGTTCAAATAAGCAAATGAAAATCCAGGCCAGCTGCCCTGAGAAACCCATGACCCACTTTGCGGGTGGGGGAGTAGAGTCAGCTGCATGTGCACAGGACAGCGTTTGTATTATTGTATTTTATGCCTCCAACATATATTTGGAAAGAACTCTTGTCAGCTGCCAGTCATCTCTTTATATACTACCCAAGGAGCTACAGAGGAAATCATAATTTAAAAATTAATTTCAGAAGCCATATAGAGAATAAAACAAGTTTGTACTTAAAAGAGAACCAGTGAAAATAATTTATTTAGACGTCAAAAAAAATATTTGAACAAGAATTGACAATACTTCACAAAACGGGGGATCCTATTTCAGGTCCTCATCAAGGTTCAGAACACAAGGTCAACACTCTTGGCAAATCTCTTCACTATTTTGGTTTCAATGTCTCTATGTTTAGTGGTATTAATGAAGGCAGTGATGATGAGAAGTGTTTTAAGTAACTATTAAACTATTATTGGTTCATGATGAAATGGCTAACTCATATAATGACAATGGGGTTAAAAACCCAGTCAATTATCCAGCTGTGTTTCTACAAGATGCCAGACATCTGCACGTTTCCAAATTATTGGATGTCATTTAAATGCTCGTAAAATATCTGGGTGTTGGAATTTTTAGTTGCATATAGACATGGCCTATATTATCATTAGTTTCATACAGACGTGGCCTACATTAATATTATTTCTCTACATTTTCATTCCATCTTTGTTATTGTTTCACAGGAAAGTAGTTCTACAACTTGAACGTAAAGCACACCTGTAAAACCGGAGAGCTATTTCTGGCTGGTCAGAATAAAAGTGGTTGCTTCCAATGCAGGCAATGGCTTCTACATGAGTATTGTCTTGTTTCAAAACTTCTTTGTAGTATTCAGCTGCTGCTGAACTATTGTTCATTTCCTATTCTCCAAGACAGAAGAGCAATACTTTATTAATATTGGACAAGAAACTGTTTTTTTCTGACTGATCTAAGTCCATTCATTCACACATACTTACTGAGAGCCTGACTCAACGTGCCAGACTCTGTTCTGGGAGCACAATATGAACAAAAAGATAAGGTTACTGTCCTGACGGAGGTTATAGCTGGTGGGCAAGACAAACAAATGAGCAAATATGTAATATCATGTCAGGAAAGGATAAGCGGTGTGAAGAAAAACAGAGCAGGGTAAGGGGAGTGGGTGCTGCTTCAGAAGGGGTGGTTGAGGGGGTCACTTTGGAGGAGGTGCTATTTGAAGAGAGACCTGAGCAAAGTAAGGGATCAAGAACTGAGCGTATCTGGGGGAAGCTCACTCTGAGCAGAGGGACTAGCAAAGTTTGAGCCTGAGACGGCACACACGTGTCACGTATGAAGAACCGCACCAAGACAGGCGAGGCGGGAAAGGAGAGTGGCCCAAAAGATCAGAGGGGCAGCCAGGGCCTGTGTCGGATTGTTTTTTCTAAGTTGGGAGAACACCATTACAGGATTAAGAGCAGAGGAAGAACATAATCATATTTGCATTTTTAAAGAATAACTTGGCTGCTACATGCAGGACATACCAAAATAGGGAAGAACGGTAGCAGCAAGATCAAGAGTCCAGGAAAGAAATGATAGCAACCCAGACTATGTTCAGAAATATATATTGAATGAAAAACTGAAGAAACCCTCTACAGTTACTATCTACTCTTTCTAAAATACTGATAATCATAAATCAAGGCATCTAATATTATTAACGAATGTTACGTTTCTCAAGTCTACCCGCAAGGCCCAGTTCAGGCTCCACATCCTTCATGAAGATTCCCTTAATGCCCTCACTTCACATAGCTCTATTCTGCTTCTCAACTTACACGGCATTTATTATTTGAACCACTCACTTGTTCTTACCATATGAGGACTCATATTTTTTGCTAGATGTTCATCATATTTTATCAAATATAAGAGAGTCCATTGATTGTAATAGGCACCACACAATTTAAACATCGAATTTTTGATACTTACTGATAGATTTACTTAGATGTACTCAGCCACAGATCACTTTTTTGCATACTTCATATAAAGTATATACACATAACCAAAATAATTGCATACAGTATTCTTTCGCATGCAGTCAAATTCTTCTGAATCCCTTTTTGACTTAGTCATCAATGTCTAGGCATTTCCATGCATTGGTGCTACAGTATTTTTTTTTTTTGAGACACAGTCTTACTGTGTTGCCCGGGCTAGAGTGCCATGGCGTCATCCTAGCTCACAGCAACCTCAAACTCCTGGGCTCAAGCGATCCTTCTGCCTCAGCCTC